GTTCATTTAACAAATGTATATATACTGGAACTGCATTCACTCCTCAACTGCTTCTATTTAATCAATTCGCTTCCGCACTGGTCGGGCGCACCGATAAAAGATAGAGAGAAAATCCCGCCGCGCTTTATCGACTAATGTCGCTATTAGAGACCGTAGTATCCGACTTTTCCTAGGAAAACACAACTAATACCGTGTCTATACCGAGATCGATCCGCGCGCGGACGGGCGCCGCTTTATTTATCGGACCGAGTAATCTCCCAACTAGCCGAGCTTTAATCTCGACGAACTTTAAACACCGAGCTGCAGCATGGATAAAACTATCGCGCGCGCGAGCGCGCACACTCGGGGGAATTTTCGCGACGGACAAGTCGGGATGACGATTTCCATAAAAATATAACAGTGCGAAATGCAGATTCCCATTTCGACGAGAATGTGAGCAAGGTTTCTAAAGAAAAAACAGGCGAGGTAAAGAAAAAGAAAAACAACGATGTTTTGCAAGATAAAATCGCAATTTTTCAACGTCAATATATGCGCCTTCGCGTTACAACACTCGCAAAATGTGCGAAAAAATTATTAAAAAAAAAATTATTGCTCTTACTGATACTTAATTTAATTAAAATCTACGATATCCACGATATCACGTTGAATTAAGAACTTTCTGAAGGACTTTTCAAACAGCGTGAAAGTCCGCGTATCCGCAATCTCCCGGGCATCTTTTAAACGTCTCCTCGGCGCTTTTACGTTTATTTGGACCACCGGAATCCCGGATACCAACCGCTTCCCTCGTTAATCAATTCCCGCGCGAACTACGTATACTATTCTTGCGGGACGTAACAAACCGGCATGCATATTTTCGCGGCGCGTGAATAATCCCCGCAGATTGCAGTCGATATTTCACGTAGCCTGGCGCGCGCGGTGCATCAACGCGTCACGTTCCCCCGATATTGAGAGTGCAGCGGCGGCGGCGACGCTACCCGGATACGGTATTCCGCTCGCGGTAGACGAGCTACGTGACGCGTCGCGGAAAGTCGCGGAATCCGCTTTTCCGTCCATCTGCGACTGCGCCTCGCTTTGGAAAGAGAAGCGAGACCCGGAGAAAAAAAAGAAAGAGAGAGACAGACAGAAAGAGAATCCGAAGTCATAAAAGCTGATCGAACTCGCAAGAAACCGGCGCCATTTTCTCTCCTTCTTTTCTACCTAACGTCCCTCCTGCTTTCCCAGTCTGCTTTCCTTTCCTTTGCTCTCCCGCTCTCTCTCTCTCTCTCTCTCTCTCCCTCTCCCTCCTCATCCTTCCGAGCTTCCCGTTTCTGCCTCTACGTTCCGCTTGGATGACAAAGACGCTAAGCGGCTTCGCAACTCATCGTACGGTTACTAACGCGCGGTTACAGTTATGATTGTTAGGGAGCCGATCAGGCAGCTTCTCAGCCGCGGCTGAAAAAAAACGGACGACATGTCTATTCCTTTGTAATAACTGTGTTTAGAAAACCGATGCATTCGCGTTTTGCCTTTGATCCTCTCAACCACTTTAACGAATTCCAAATAAAGTTATTACGTTACGTTAATGTGAATAAAAATGTGCGAACAAAATAATGTACAGGATTAAAATATAAAGAATTAAGAATTTGAGATAAAGTTGTTATCACGTTAACGTTGAATAAAAATGCGTGAATAAAATATAAAAAGTTAAAATATCTACATTAAGAGTTAATTTAAGTGTATGGCGGTACATTTTGTTCTGGCACACCTAGATGATTGTCAAAGCCGTAGGAAAATTAAGATTTTGTTCTCATAGCGCACACATGAATGAACACGACTGAAATGCTGAAAATGAAGAAATTCCTTCGTCGATTGCGATGCTCGAGAGAGAATCAGATCGCTCCTCACCGCGTTCTCGTGGAACGCTCATTAAGGAAGGTTAAAAGTCGAGAAAACACCTGTTGAGTACGCGAAAGAGCCAATCGGAGCATGGTCGGGGTTCATTCGCGCCTCCCCCCCCCCCTCAACGCTCGCGAAAGAAATAGTATTAGCGATCCAAAGCCGGGGCGGTGTGTCGCGCGTGAGTGTAGTAACGAGAGAATGCTGTTATATAATTAAGCGGTTTAACAAGCCGAAGGGAACCGAGTATTTCTTTCGTTTCCTACCGCGGGTGTAAAAAACACTCCCGTACCCGGGAGACAGACGGTATAATGATTCCGAAGTCATTAATATATCCAAATGTCAATTTTAATATCACGCCGTACGTACGACCGGTTGTCGTCAAATCGCGGGAAATTCGTGCGAAATTCTATCCAGTTATCATTATCGATGCTTTCACCGCCTTTAACGTCGCTTCAATGAAACGGTATCTTTTCGTTCGACATACAGAAGCGAATTTAACTCTCGCGAAAAACCCGGTGGAAAAAGATCCGAGGGAACGCGATCTGAGATAATCTCTCTCGTAATAGCTCGATTAGAGAGCAGGCGAGATCTTTTTTCAATTTATACTTATGGCACGATTCCCCAAACGGGATCATCCCTTCTTCTTCTTCTTCTTCTTCTCTCTTTCTCGCTCTAGCTGGGAGCATCGCAGATTAGAAATAAGTTTCGTCGAGAGTAATCCCGGTAGAGGACAGAGAGCGCGCGGATAAGAGCCTAGGGGGTGAAAGTGAAGTGGAGAAAGAGAGGAAAAGAGAAGGTCATGTTTACGAGTCACGGGAAAGTTCCGACTTGGGGAGTCTTGACTTCGCCATAACGACCGCGTGAGGTTTCCCCGTAGGCCCTTGAGGTATCGGCCGTGCCGGATTCGAGATTGAGGTCGGGAAGAACCTGGATACGCTACTCAAGGAACCCGAAATGTTTCACGTAGAACGCGGGACGCGTAAAGAGAAAGTTTTTAAGGGAGGGCGAACCTCGAACGTTCTTGCAAAATGGATGCGTTAAAGACGCGCCGACGCGATGTTGCGTTACGCAATACGTAACGCTGAGTAACGCGAGTAATAAGTAACGCGAAACCGTCGTCGTCAACAATGGCTGTCGCCAAAGGTTGAATTGGAGCTCCCGAGGTCGAAGACGAAGGATCCCACGGTGACTCGGAGAGATAATTACGTTGCTCGTTTTTCCAGGCCGCGGAAAGACTCGTCCGGAGCTACCCCGGAGTCATTTCGAGCAATGCTACGCGTGGCGAGTCGCGTTTCTATCGGGGTTTCCAGATCAGAAGGATTTCCAGGAAACGATAACGCTCCGATTAAATTATATGGCAATCGCGAAGCTGTGTCTCAAGTGATTAATTGGAATTTTTCCATGTATCGATATCGGAAGATCTCGCTATTGCGACATAATGTTTAACTATCGTTCACAAAATTTACAACTTTTGTTATACAATAATAATATAATCGTTATTAATAATGTTCTCTGATGCTTAAGAGGGGTTTCACCTTTGCCGGCCGTAAAATTAGCCCTCTTTCATGAATTTTTCTAAGGAAATCTATTATATACAATAAAATGCGGGTTTTTGCATAAACTTATATATTATTTGAACAGCAAAAAAATATTTTTTATTTATATAAAAATGTATTTTAATGCCTCCAAGTGATGATTGAGTGTGGCATATTTTTCGAGCTGACGGAAGTTATTACAAAAAAATTAATTAAAATATCAACTTGATTCTTTTTTCCTCTTGATCCTAATATTTTAACGCATGGAGTGAACTAAAATGATTTTACAACAAACATTCAATTTATTATTAATAAAAATTTTTTTAAATTTTAAAAAAATTCATAAAAGAGAGCTAATTTTACGGCCGGCAAAGGTGAAACCATCTTAATAATGCGAAAATTCGAATATCTTGTTCGTAGATTTAAATTGCATAGCGTTAATGACTCTGATCGAAAGCAAATTCGTTAAACACTATCCGTATTACCGTGGATTTATACACAGGGCAAAGACTATAGAGGGGCAGGGCTATCGGTTAACGTTAATTGAAGCGGTCAGTGAATCTACTTGGCGAGGTGCCTACGATTACTAACCTAGACCGGTAGTGAAAAGACAGGACGAGAAAGGGCGAAGTGGCTCTTAAAGCGCAAGAGAAAGATCCATTAAGCGATCAAGACAACGTGAAGCTGGGATTCTGCTTGAATAAATATGACAAGAGAGAAAGAGGGAGGGAGAGAAACTGTAAGAAATGAATGTCAGCCCGATTTTCTCGTCTTCTCGCTCATTAATTATTCGCGACTTCGCATCCACCGCAAATATAACAAGCAAATGCAGTGATGCTTAATAAAATGCCATTTAACAAGGGAAAATAGACTCTCACGCCCGTTTTAGAACTTTCGGTATGACCGCGTTAAATGCACGCGCGGCGAGATGCAATCGTGTGCGGCGAAATTGATCGACAGGGCTGGGTATTCGTCGCTACTTTCATTTCCCGGTATAGAAACATTTTCGGCATCATCTCGCCGAGAAAAAAGACCGCAAAACGTTCGGTGTGTCAATTTAACTGACACATGACGTTGTTCTCTTTATCGGAAGAGAGAGAAAGAGAGAGAGAGATAAAAAAGTATTATCGCTGACAATAAATTAATGGCTGGCAGAGACGTACAGTAGCTGTTTTAATTTCCATTCGCAAAAAATATTTTATCACCGTGCAGCGTTAGTTAAATTAGTCTCTGACGCTCACGTAGCCTATATTTAGAAAATGTTGGTCGCATAAAAATCAATGTAGATATACGTAAACGACGGCGATAACGCGATACTTAAACAGGATAACTCTAAACTCTTCATAAATAGGATAACTCTAAACTTTTCATAAATTCTTAGAAATAAAAAAAGATAAAGAGGATATCTGTTAACGTTTTTTTTTTCCACGATTGAGTGCTCGCCGAGTATTTGAAAAAAAAAAATTAAAAAAAAAGATAATCAATATCGCCACGCGCGAATATACATGCAGAAACACACGGTGGCGTGGAAAAAAACAATAGTTTTGCCGATCGCCGTGGTAAAATAAATAAAAAATATATATTTACCCTGACGGGGCCAGGAAAGAGGTTCGGAGGAGGAAGTATGCTGGAGTGATGATGGCGCGCGTGGCTATGATGGTGGTGATGGTGTCTTGCATCAGGACCGCTTCCCGCAGCCGCCTGCTCTGCCTGGACCGACATCGCCGCGCGAGCAAGTCGCTCTCGCTCCCGAAGCCGGTCCCGTTCCACGCTGAAAAACCAAAATTACCATCCTGTTAGTTCCAAATGTATTCACGTGTATAGGAATGCGGGTAAAATGTTCCCACGCACAACGGGAGGATAACAGAGTGTCAGAATTATTTTTTGCGGAAGCTCCTTTCCTCGTGTAATCGCTTCTGCACGCTTCTACAGTCTAATGGCATATTTGGAAATTGTAGACAAAATACCGCCACGTGACAGAATTGATGACTGTCATTCTTATTCTGTCTCTGTCAAGTTTTCTAAATTATAAAATTATAATTATTCATTGTTGTCGCGGAATAATTTTTCGACGCTCGATTGTCGGACGTGAGCATCGGTGCTCTTTGGAGCAGGGAGAACGTCCTCGTCTTTCACGGAAAGCGAATTCACGGAGGTGGAATTCGCCAATATGACGCAGCGCCGAGAATAACTACCAGCCTTTTAGGAGGCACCGATGGAAGCAGACGCGAGCGACGAGTCCGAGACAAGGTAAAGACGAAGACAGGGACGGAAGGGATTCGTGACGAAGCATAGCGAGGGCGATCGCAGCTGGCGCAAACACCTGTTTAGTCGCATTTCCGGTGACGCCGATATTATGTGCAAGAAGGAAACTAGGAAACACTACAATTTTGTAACGATCGTTGCATCGATTTATAAGGCAAAAACAGTTGTAATAATTATAAGTTGTAAATTGGATTAACATTTAGCGATTACAAATGTGTGTCAGATTATGTAGAAAAATCAATATAAGATTATTTTCTATATAATTCAAATAAATACACAGATATATAGAAATCTGGGCATAATTTATCATTCATAAACCTTTATCATAATTTATGGACTAAAGATTAAATTATAAATCAAGTTATTTCAATAATCTGGATTTAAAAAAACTGACATTTGTACATTTGTACTTTAAAAACAAATGTGTCATTTTCAACGTAATAGAGTGCGTTACTTTTTCTCCTACAAAAGACTGTTTTATAAATCACAGCAATGTTCTCTTCCAGAAGTACCGGATATATAAATTATTCATTTTTTTGTATTTCAACTCCGCAGCACGTAACGCAATCAAAATGGCGAGTATGGGCCGAAGAGCGCTTTAAATAGATGTTTAAAGGTCGTTTGAGATGGTTTTCCTTCTCGTACGTGCGTTATCTGACACACGTTGAACGACTTGTCAAGGCGCGACTTGCTAATGCCGCGCGCCCCGATATGTTTACGGTCTTCATAGAATTTTTCCGAATGCATTAACATAAGTAATGCACGCGCGCAGCGGGTGAACACGGGGGAAGAATATACCACAAAGAATACAGTCTCATTTACAATCGGCACAGAGAGAGAGAGAGAGAGAGAGGCCTTTCTCCACGAGGTTGGACATAATAAGCGTATACAATCGAGAAGTATTTCTTTTTTAGCACGTGCACAACGTCTGACAGGAAGCGCCGATACCGTACGTCACGAAGGACGGAAATACGCGTCACATGAAGTACAAAAGGTCGCGAGCTCGTGTTGCAATAAATGAATAAATCGCCAGTGTAAATTGCCAGGTCGCGAGGCAGAGAAAAGAAACAGAGATCTGACGTAAATAATTATTCAGGAGGCAGGTATCAACTGGTCCCTCATCTATTACCGTCGTTAACGCCGTATGTGTATACACGCACCCGTGATACACATTTATCCATTGTAATGTCGAGAGATTTATTCCCCGGTGGCAAGAATCTGCGCACCCACCACACCGTAAAAAAGTTACGGGCCCCGTATTCAGAAACGCGCTTACGGCGACGTTAACGCGCATTTTACGTTACACATACGTTATAAAAAACTCGAGATTTGTTAGCGCGCTAACATCGTTATATAAGCGCGTTTCAAGTACGGACCCAAGTATCGTTTCTCGACGATGTTAGCGGGATGTAAAATCTTTTCCTCGAGCCCGACAATCACGAGCCGTTCTCCTTAGACCAGATAACGACGGGCGAAGCCCCCGGGTTTTCCTTCCATAAGGCGAGCACGTATTCCGATTACGGAGTCGATCTGCCGACGAGGCGGCGCGCGAGCCCCGCATCGTCGCACGGTCTTACTTTCTCGATCGGGTCGAAAACGCACGAAGCGAAACGAAACGTGCATGTCGATGAGCGAATCGCTGCATTGTCATGCAAATTAAACGTACCGGCGGTAATCACTGTTCGCCGCGACCGCTTAATTGCGGATGAATAGGTAAGGAACTCTGCACTATCGTATATTCGCGATATACCTATTTCACCATTCTCGCGGATTATTCCCAGAAAAGGAATACACCGAACTTTCATTTTCGCCTCATCCGAACACGTTTGAGGTCACTCGAGTGCTCTAATCAAATGCAATTATCATCTCGCTGCCACAAATTCCCAAGTACGCAAAAAAAAAATAAATATCGGTATGTAGAAACTCTTTTGCGAGACACTCTTCGTACACTGTTAAATCTATAGCGTCAAACTGAGCCTTATTAAGTCGTCACTGCTCTTACTTAATAAATAATTATTTTTAAATAAAACAACCTAAATTTTGGTTAAATTTGGGAACTGTTTTAAATTATTTAACTCCATTATTTTAGTAAAAAAGAACTATTTATTAAGTAAGAGCAGTGGCGACTTAAATAAGGTTCAGTTTGACACTATAGATTTAACAGTGTAACGCGCACGTCTCTCGCATAATCGAAGAAATCGTACGAACCCCCGTTCGCTAAAAATAACAGCCCAAATTATAATTAGCGCTCTCCTCGACGCGAGAGAGAACGCAAGAACCGTCTTTCCTTCTTATTAATTCAAGCCTGCTTATTATTCGTGACGGCGAGAAATATCCGACGGAAAGTTTAATCGCGTCCCCGGTCGTGCATGTAAGCGAGTCGGTAATTTCTCGGGGCTCCCGTAATATAATCGAGCGAAGTTAAGAACGACTCTATTTGTCCCGGAATGTATTTGCGCGCGTGTGTGTGTGCGCGCGCTACTGCAGGGATACCTACATTTATCCCATTGCCCGCCGGTGCAGAATCCCTTTTCGCACGCCGCATACCTACTCGCGCTCGCTGCAGAGACACGTGCATTCGGATGGACGGCGCGTTTTAGTCGCGCGTCGCGTCGCGATACTTTCTCGACCGGCACCCTCCACCTCAACGTCCCTCCGCGTGTCGTCGGGGGCCTCCTCATTCTCTCTCTCTCTCTCTCTCTTTCTTTTTACCACGCCGCGCGCTTCATGCTTCGCTAAATCAGCTAGAAAGTATACTCTTAACTAAATCGACGCCCCCCGAGAAGGAAAGAAAAAACCAGACCTGCTCGCCGTTAATCGCGATTTCGTAACGAGATAAAAAGTGTGGAACGAATGTGAACAAAGATTTGACAGACGAAATTTATCTTCGAGATTTAGAACGATCGTGCTACCATGCAGCTATCCTATATTTCACTCTAGCTCGAAAAATTTCGCACGCTTTTAAAAATGAATTTCAAGTTCTAACGATGTTCCAATTTGATTTAATTCTTATTGACTCGAGAATATTAGTTCGTGTTTTTTCAGTGCTAAACGAGAATCGACGCAAATATTTGAAATGATATTCTCTAGTCAGCTCTTTTCGACTCGCTCTCTTTTCCTTCACATATGGAAAAACGCGAAAGACACCAAAATATCTCTATCCCGAATCCGCGCGAGGAAGCAAAATTCCAAGCCAGCGCGGCCCACACGTACACACACACACACGTGCTCACATCTCGGTCGTCGGCTCGGCTTTATTGAATATCTGGGAATATTGTCACAGAACGGTCGAAGTTCATCGAGCTAACGAGCTCCGAACCGCTCTCGACAAGTGGCGGACGGGTATACTCTCTTTCTCTCTCTGTCAGTTATTTGCGCGATCGAAAACTCGGGATGGTGTCCTCCCCTCCGCGCGCGAGGAATGGATCGGACAGTTTTCAAAAATGTTCGTTTAACAATCCGGCACAATCAGCCGTCGACGGTGGCGTCTACCGAGAGAGAGAGAGAGAGAGAGAGAGAGAGAGAGAGAGAGAGAGAGAGAGAGCCGCGAGTGTATACCGAAATCACCTGCTCGGTCTCGCAGTCAAAATCGATTGCCTTTTTGATTTCCACGTTTCGCTATTTTTCGCATCGGTTATTCTTGCGTCCGCGATTGTTGTTTGTGTACACGGATGGTCTGTTCTGGATACACAGGCGGATAACATAAGGACGCGTATTCGCACCATAAGCTCGGCTAGCGAATTAACTTCCTTGTTCACAGAGATTCACTTTGATGTCGCTTCATCAATTTATATGACTTCATTCTATAAAATTTTAACGATACAGTTTACAGATGTGGAAATCACTTTTCATTAGGAAACACCTGTTGCAACATTTCAATATCATATTGATAATATACATTCACAAGAAAAGATAATAAATTCAAGATAATAAACTCAAGAGAACGTATGATATATTGAAGAATTCAGTCCAAAGTCCATTTTGCCATATTCGTCATTTAAAAAGGATTATTATATGAGATATAAATCATTTTTAGAATAGAGAACTTGCTATCATTATTGCGATCCATTATTTTTATCCGTTTAACCCGCGAGACGCGCGAGTGTGTTCCCGCGTTTTTTTTGCGTTAGATTAATGTACTTTTTAAATGCCGGCGATTCCTCCGACGGCATTTTCAATTCCCGACGAGCGTCGCGTCGTCGCGATCGATTTAATCCTCCGTGGATTAATTCGCGCCTCTTTCGCGGCCGATGTAGTAGTAGCGCGGCCGAATTAGCCGATATTTTTTCAATATCGGGGAGGGGGGGGGAGGATAGCAAATGTACCCTCGAGGTGGATTTTTTCTCCTCGTTCGAGCGAACGTTTAGCAGCGCGGTGCGGCGCGGCGCCCCCGATCCTGCCCCGGAGGCGGGTTATTGCCATCGTAGATAATTAATTCGCGTTAATCGCGGCCCATTTGAAATGGTAATGAGAAAGGGATGATTTAAAGCGGCCCTCGCCAGCTGC